TCTCCCTCCCTCCCTGCCCTGGCAGTATACTCCTCTCGTCACGTACCATTCCCTCGAATGTTCATCTATGCACACACACACCCACACACCTAGCCGAGCCACCTTCGAAAACGCGTCTCGGTCCGTCGCCGGGCGTGGGCAAGCCAGGTCTGCCACCCACCAAAAGCCCCGGAGTGTCCCTCTGGCTGTGGCGCCCACATCATCGTCCGCTTCAGCTGCACCGCGAATCCCCAGTACGAGCCGGCCGTACCACAAGGAGGAATCTGGGGTGACAGTGCACCGACCGGTGTCGTGCATGCCAATGCAATGCGCACTGGCACCTGGCTGCATGAACCGAGGGGCCGAGCTTCTCTGGGGCCGTAAGCGAGAAATATAGGGGGTGGAGTGACCTATTGAAACAGTGACGAAGGCGGACATTTCTGATTCAGGGAGTCGGAAGGAGAGGAACAGTTCAGGCTAGAACATAACGGGCATCGTATTGAAAGAAGATCACATCAAAATGAGTGTAGCAGAGTGTAGCAGCACACACCAGAGCTAGGCCGTGATACCTATTCTCGGCCAAAACCCAATCGATTCCCCGCGACTATGCTGCGGTGGGCGAGAGGGAGAAAATCATGAGGGAAAACGCATAGTACTGCATTCGTGGGATCTTCAATGCTTGATCGAGAAGAATCACTACAGTTCCGGCCTGATCACATCCTTACAACCGACTTTCTATGCCCGCGAAATTTTGCTCTCCGGGCCAGTGAGCTCCTGGCCAGACGTGGTGCATAGCTTCCCAGATGTGACTGATGATGGAGTTAGTACTGCATCTTGACGGGAGGCCCGGGAAACTCACCTGACGTGGATGATCTCCAGCCCATCCTTGACCTCCTGTGGCAGGTCCTTGGCACTGCGAAGCGTTAGCTATCCTGTAATCAGCCAGATATCTTGCAGGAGAGATCCTTACTCTTTCTTGTTCTGAGCTGGTAGCAAAACCGTCTTGACGCCGGCACGGAGAGCACCAATCAGTTTCTCCTTGATTCCTCCGACCGCAGTCACACGGCCTCGAAGAGATATCTCGCCCTAGACGTGGTCAATTGAGCTCCCTGAACACGAGCCAGGCACGACTTACGGTCATAGCCATGGTTGGAGGTACAGCCTTGCCAGAAAACAGGGAAATGAGCGCAATGGTATGCGCCATCCCGGCTGAAGGGCCATCCTGACAGTCGTGAGCAGGTGAATACGACTTGGGCATGGAAAAATACCTTGGGGATTGCCCCCGATGGACAGTGGACATGTATACTTCGGTTCTTCATGATGTTCTCAGAAGGATCGGCCGTCAGACCAAGCTCGTAAGCATGAGCCTTGACCCAGCTAAGTGCTACCTCAACGCTCTCTTTCAGAACGTCACCCAGCTTCCCTGTGAGCTGCACACTTCCGCTACCCGGCATGTCGGCGACTTCGATGAAAAGTATGCTGCCGTTTCCACCTGAGCTGTAGGCCACGAGACCCGTCACGATTCCTGGACGACTGACCGCAACCTGTTAGCATTTGCTCCGCCACATCATAAACTCGGAGATTTTGTATCTCCTGTCTTGCATCTCGCGCGGTTGCCCGCGGTATTGGGTACACGACGTCGGAACACGAGTTTAGGGATCATCGGACGAGGGGTATTACCTTGTCTTCTCAGCAATCTCCTCATCATACTTTTCGATTCCGAGAATTTCCTCGATGTCGTCCACCGTTAGTTGAGGTTTGTATTTCTCTGCAATAGTGTTTAGTTTGCAAATCCATTTCACAGCATGGAAGGATTTACCGGTGTGCCCAGCATCTTTAGCTTCAGCATACTCTACGGCCTTGGCACGACACACCGAGCCAATCTCCCGTTCGAGGTTTCTGACGCCTGATTCTCGCGTGTATGACTCGATTATCTTGGACACAACTTCGCTGTTAAACTCAACCTGTCCATCCCCGAGACCATCTGTGCAAAGTTAGTATGGGACCGGTGTGTGAAGGAGGACCACCAGCTTACTTGTCCGAATTTGTTTTGGGATCAAGTGTTGTAGAGCGATATGGCGTTTCTCGAGAGTAGTGTAGCCCGAAAGAGATATTGTTTCCATGCGGTCCAACAAGGGAGGAGGAATTGTATCCAAACTGTTCGCAGTTGCGATGAAGATAACCTTGCTGAGATCTATAGGGATATTGACGTAGTGATCTGTGAAGGTGTGATTTTGCTCAGGGTCCAACACTTCGAGCATAGCCGCCGAAGGGTCGCCGTGAAAATTCGACGTGCTGTATAAACTATCAGCCTTGCAGGGAAATCGGGCAAGCAAAAGCACAACTCACCCAACTTTATCGATTTCATCCAGAAGGAGAACAGGGTTTGCCACGCCGACCTTCTTCAGACCTTGCACAATGAGGCCAGGCATTGCCGCCACATACGTTCTCCGGTGGCCTCGTATCTCTGCCTCGTCTCGCACGCCCCCAAGAGAGATACGATGGAACTTTCTTCCAAGAGCTGTGGCCACGGACTTGGCCAAACTCGTCTTTCCCACACCTGGAGGACCAACCAAAAGCAAGATTGGTGACTTGTCAATCATCCGCTTGCTCTTCAAAATCTCAACTTTTCCATTAGCCTTCTCATCTTCTGCCTTTGTGATTTCCGCATTGACGTTTTCATTGATGGCTTGCTTGAGTTTCAGAACGGCCAGGTACTCAAGCAGGCGCTTCTTTACCTTTTCAAGGCCATAATGGTCATCATCTAACTGCTTTCTGGCTCTTGTCAAGGTCTCCACGCCGAGTTGATCTTCTGTCGTGACAGACCAAGGAATTTCCGTCAGGTTTTCCAAATAGTTACGAGTGACTTGGTATTCTGCTTGAGCGGGAGACATCTTCTTTAAACGCTTGAGTTCTCGATCAGCGACCTTTGCAGCTTCCGGGCTCATTTTGGCATCCTCGATCTTCTTCTTCAGCTCTTCTATCTCGTTTGGCTCCTGCTCATCATCACCGCCACCCATACCAGGAAGTTGCGGTAATGCCATCCCATTTGTACCGGCTCGCCGTCTTTGATTGTTGATTCGATTCATCTGATCTAGATCCATATTCCCAGGAAGGTTCGTACTGGTGAAAGTTGCAATGCTGACGTTGTTCTTGATGTTACCGACCTGGCGTTGGAGAAGCGCAATAGCTTTTTCCAAACGGTCCTTGACGTCCACAGCAGCCAGTACCTCCAGTTTTTCCTCAGAAGAAGCATCGACTATATTTGCCATAAAGTCTGCCAGGACGCCCCCATCCTGTAGACCCTTTCGTGCAATGTATAATTCGAGCCGGCGAGCGAGAACAGGGGAAAGACCCGAGGAGCCAGTAGTTCGCGGTAGCAAGGAGGAGAGTCGGAGTAGCGTCATTAGCTCACGGGAGAGCTGCTTGAGATGGGCGAAAAGCCCCTGCATCGCCACATCTTCGAGAGAGATGACTACGAAGATGTCAGCACTTCTCCAGAACTTTGCATAGTATCCATACCTTCGTCGTGTTCATATGTAACTTGGGCCTCGAAGAAAGGTTTCTCCTGCGAAATCCTGTCGATTCGAATTCTGGCCATTCCCTCAACCAGCAAGGCAAACTCTCCAGTACCCCGTCCCTCAACGCCTGATATCTTTGCCGCAACTCCATATCCAAACAAATCCTGTTTGGTAGCACGCCCAGGATCGATATCGAGGCGTTCTTTCGGGGGCGGATTTTTGTCGTCTCCAGCGATCAACCTCTGCCCATGATTCGATAATAGAGGGGAGTTGAGCGGGACGCAAGCTATATTGACATTATCGAGTCGTTGGGCAAGTGTCTTCGAAGCAGCTCGACTGTAGACATGAGAAAGTAGGGCCGGGATATCGGCTCTGTTGCCCGAGACTGGAATTCGGAGAACAATGCCAGGCAGTAGAACAGTGCCCTTGTGGAGTGGAATGAGAGGAAGCGTAGCCTTTTTGGGCGGTGCCATAATGTAGATTAGATAACTTGAGAGATGGATATTGGTATGTTGGAGTAAAAGATGGAAGGCTGGCTGAGAGGTTAGAAGATGGGTGGAAGCTGGTCGTGTTCTTGCTGTTGTCTTGGGAGGGATAAGGTGGCAAGGCGCTGATGCCGAGGTCATAAGTAAGTATACAAAGATAAGCCGACGAGCACGAGTCGACTGTAGTTACGGACCCAGGAATCCAATCAGATACCGTCCTCTGGACAATGGTGTAAGATGGATCTATTTACTTCTGTTGCTTGTTTTCCTATAAGCATTCTGGAGGACGAGATAGTTGGACGGGGAGTCGGTCATAAAGCACATCGCAGTCGTCGGTCTTCTTTGTATCTATGTATCCGTATTACCATAGCTAGTGACTACTCGGTATTTTCCATTTGGATATATCTAGGTAAAGGAAAAGCTAAGTTGCTGATCGGGACTCTCAGGCAGACCTGTGTGAATTTGAAGATAGCACACGATAATAGACAAGCAGACTTCGAGGTTCAAGCCACGTGATAAGTATAAACTCTTTCATGATTATATTACCGTGTACCAAAACCAACCTCTACAAGATATTATTCATCTAACTCGACTACCCAGATGTAGACAAGATAAACTTATAACGCTTCCTGTCCGCAAGCATGACTTCCAGCCTGACTCCAACCATCACTAAATCCTGGCTTCAGGATCTCAAGAGAAACGCTTCAAATGGAACAAGCTCTCTCAATTACTGGGCCGTGAACCAGTCGACCCTGATAACAACTTCTCAGCCGATCTTTTTCAGCCTCGGAACAGGCGCGCAGATCCTCGATGCAACCGTCTCCAAATGTGAAGCAACCAATCATGAACTCATCATCACGACCTGTTTTTGGGCCAAGTCATCGTCACAAGAAGCAATATCAGCTCTACTCATCAAGTTGTCTGCCAAAGCCATTGCCCAGAACCGTAAAATCCACGTCCGTATATGTTTCTCGTCCTATTCCATTACACAAAAGCTATTCCAGACATCATCACTGAGCGGGAAGATATACCCCCCATCAAGCTGGACAAATCTCTGGCTACCGTCTCCTGAGCAGTTGGCAGGTTTAGATATGGAAGTTAAGAGCGTTTTTGTACGGCCGTTCAGCGTCATGCACCCAAAGTTCATCCGTATGTTCATATCCTCTCCTGTTCTCCTCAATGTCATGGTCCTCGGCGTCCAAGAACCGCTTAGGGAGTTGAATATCCACAGACGTGGTCCCATGTGCATGAAAAATACTCGATACAGTGCTGAACGTTGAATAGTGGTCGACCGCAAACTAGTATTCATGCCCTCCTGCAACGTCAGCTGGGAAGCCTGGTTTGAGGGATGTATCGAGATGAAAGGCGGCATTGCAGAAAAGCTATTCGACTTTTGGGTCACCTTTTGGGCACAGGGGAAGACCTCTTTGCCCGCGTTCCTTCCCGATGAAGTTGAACCCGATCAGACATCGCACCCGGACCCAGGAAAGAATACACCCTCTCTCATAAAGCAGGCAGACTTCTCCCCTGAACTTATGACACCGCAAACAATCCTCCTCCCCTCGCCGCACCATCGCAACCCTCGCTTCCACTTCAACTTCACCACACCACCGCCCTGCCCGCCGACCCCTCTCAACCTCTTCCTCCTCCAGATATTCGCGCAAGCGAGACGGACAATCTTCATCCAGACACCAAACATAACTTCCGCGCCAGTAGTTGCAGCTCTTCATTCAGCACTCACTCGTGGTGTAGATGTGCACCTTGTAACCAGCAGAAAACTGATGATTCTCGAGCAACTCGTCACAGCTGGAACGATCACTGAATTCGAGATTTGGAAACTCCGACGATGGCATCGGAAGTTGCATGCAATGCATGCTAAGGGTGATGCAGAACTTGGGTCGCAGAGACCGGGTGGTTTGAGAGTAGGTTACTACCATGCCAGGGAAGGGGTCAGGGACAAAAATGAGCCAGTCAAGAGTCACTTAAAGCTTGTGATCGTGGACGAGGAAGTTACGGTGCAGGGCAGTGGGAATATGGATCGTGCTAGGTAGTATTTCCTGAACGGCCCCCTGGAATCGGTGCTAATTTTCTATGTTAGTTGGTATACCAGTCAAGAGCTTGGTGTCGCATTTTTCTCTGCGGATATCGCGACTATGACCCGCGATTGCGTGAATGAGGGTTTGATCGGGAGAGTCGATTATGTCTCCTAGCGGGAAGGAATCCGAAGGATCAAGCGGTAATCGATAGATGTAGTACTCTCCTCACTGTTGAGGATTTTCATCCAAGTGTTGATAGACCATAGGAGATTCCCGCAATCACAGATTGCAAAGCCACAACCCTCGCAAGTCTGCGTTAGCCTTGCGCAACTGCTTCAATTGCCGAATCACAGACAATCGGCAACTTCTATTTCGCGCTTTGTGGTAGAAGAATGCAGTAAACGGGCTATTTGCGACTACTTACAATAATCTCCCGGTAAAGTAAATACGTCGCGAGCTTTGATGAATGCAAGGAGCCGAAAGATGCCAGCTTCTCAATACTTTGTTTGATTACTTCAGCGCTCGACCTTCTTGCCCTCCTAGTGATAAGTCCATGCCGGGGCAGGCACCCCCGCGCCGACGTCAACAAAACCACTCGCTTACATAAACCAATTACATCTATTCATTCCAAAATCATTAAAAAGAACTGCGATGTGCCAAAAAAAAAAAAAAAAAAAAAAAAAAAAAAAATTAACATATCAATCAAGAAAAAATCAAGAAAAAATCAAGAAAAATCAAGAAAAATCAAGAAAAAATCAAGAGAAAATCAAGAAAGAAAAAAAACCCACTCTCTTACAGCCTTCTCCGCTTCCCTCGAATGTCAAATGAGATGTAGCCTATACAGGCTTCCGAAGCAACAACCAAAAGAGGTAGCCAAACTTCAAGAAGAACATCATCACACGTCGCTGCAAGCAGCCACGATGATTACTTTCTTCCTACCTTCTTCCTACTTTCTTCCTACTTTCTAGACCTGCGCTAAGCTGAGCTGAGCTAAGCTGCAGACGCGAAATGGCACAAACCACGACGAGTAAGGATCATCCTAACGAACATCCATCCACACAGACAAAAAAATAAAAAATAAACCGAGCTCCATCTTCCCCAGAAACTCAGCAGGCGGGATGGCTGACGTGAGAGGCGAGAGCCAATCTTTAAGATCAGACTGGACGAACGACAGGATCGATTCGGTTAGGCCCTCGGAATCCGAGATGCGAAAAAGAGAAACGAACCCCCCCCCCCCAAAAAAAACTCTGCGGAGTTACCTACGTGTGATATATAGAGCCCCGTATTGCTGCTATAAGGACTCCGAGTGATTTTTTTTCCTTGAAAATTTGTTTTTCCTAGTTCCAAAATAAGTTCTTTTGCTCAAAGATGTCTTCTCTCTTACCCCCCCCCTTTTTTTTCTCTAGTTGTTTTCTTCTTCAATTTGAAAAGGATTAGAACCAAAATTTTGCTTTATTTTTTGCACAGGCTATTGATATTGAACATACTCTCTCCTCAAGCGTAGGAGTGCGAACATCATGCCATTCCCAAAGCAAGAGCCGACAGATTACCAGACAAGATAGAATGGGTTGCAGACGATAACACCCGTAAGTACAATGCTGTCAGTCCAATTTACTCCCCTTTCCCTTACCATCTCCCGACTCCAAATGTGATATGCATCTTACTCCGTATCCCCCCGTTTCCGTGACATGCCACTCTCGAACTCCCCGTACTCAGGACGAACCACTCACACCCAACGCCAAGCTACTTCAAGATCCCCTTCGATGGTGGAAAGAACTGCGAAAATATTCAGGGTGCGTAGGATGTGGTTTCTAAACCAGCACGAATTCGGGATTTGTTCTCGAAACAATGCCGTTGGCCTCTACACACCCTGAATGTATAGTCGGAGCGATAGATAATTTGAGCCTACCAAGCCCAGGACCGTGAGCTTGCAGCAAATACCGGTGGCTTCCACTGTATCAAATCAGGATTGATGACTCTCTTCGGCTTCGTCTTCTGCTTCTCCTTCATGGCCTCGTGACGTTTGATGAGATGCGTCGGAAGAATGATCTTGTGCTCGCCCTTGTGATACACCTGCATCTGCAGAGCTTGCAACGTACTCTCGACATCCTGAGCCGTCATAGCCAGCGTGTTGGCTAGACTGTCGATGCTAACCTTCTCGTCTTTCGCATTATGAGCGAGTAACACTTCGACCAGGTTCTCGGTCCAATATTGTCGGTATGAGAGGAGACCAAGATCGGACAGGGGTTTTTCGGGAGAGCCAAGCTTGTTCTCAATGCTAGAGAGTTCGTAGGAGAACTGAATGAGAAGGCGACCGTAACCCTTTCTTTGGAACTGGGGGAGGGTTAGAATACAAGCGACGTTATATCCGTCAACGCTCTCCTTTTCCTTAGAGAAGTACCCAACCAGGTGGTAACCTTTCTCGTCTCTGGCCGCCATGGCGTAGAACAGGAAGGGGTCGACATCATAGTAAAGGGTCTTGTGATCGAGGAACATCTTGGACAGCAGACATAGGTTTCGGCACCATTTGCGTTGACGACGGCCGTCGATCTCGAAGAAAGATACGTAGTCGTCCCGGTATATCTCGTTTCCAGGAGGGTGTTGCAGGGTACACTTGTGTCGATGGCGAGTAAATGACTTGGCATCGGCAAAGTAGCATAGGCAGAACTCGCAAATGTACATGACATCTTCTTGAGTAAAGGCTTCCGGATACGGCGAGAAGTACCAAGGGAAGAGGTCGTATTTACCGAATTGGACTTTCGAGATGTTCCGAATACGCGAGATCTCGGCTTGGTTCTGAGTCATGGAGCCTCCAACTCGAAGTTTCTCAATCTCCTCCTCTCGGCTGTAATGCTCTGCTGGGTCTGCTTTCGCTGATACGGCTTCTCGTACGGCTTCGTCGACGTCCATGGCATCATTGTCTTCAGCACCTGGCGTGTTGTCCAGATCGAGTTCGAGAGTAAGCTTCTCTTCTCCCTCCGGATCAGGTGTCGCTTTCTGCGAATCTGGAAGCTCTCCCCACGGCCGGTGATTGCTACTGGTTTCTGAAGCTACAGAGGCCTCCCGCGTCCTAGTAGGTCGCTTCTGGCCTCTCTTTTGGGAAACTGTCTTCCTCGCGACAGGAGCAGCAGCTTTCTTCGTTTCCTTGGGCTTCTCGGGATTTGGCCACTCCACATCTTGTGTGAAGTCGACGCGAGCCACGGGAACCCACTCATCAAGACGCTTGTTGAAGTTATCGAAATTGCAGTAGAATTGTCGACCACTTTTGGTTTCCTTGATACTCAATATTTCTGCTTTCCGAGGTCTGCCATCCTATTTCTGAGTCAGTGAAGGGGGTTCGTGTACATGTCAGTGGCGATATGGCAAAATAAGAAAATCATCTCGAAAATCAAAATCGAGACCCAGAAAAAGATTTCAAAAGGGCAATTTGCTCCATAAGTCATTGAGGAGTGAGCTGAATGGTGTGGAGCGGTTAATACTGACTTTCACCACCATGGCAATACAGCCGATCCTGTCATTGTCAGTGAAGCACATGCGACCACGGGTCTTCAACCTACTTCAAAGAATCCACCGTCGCCCTACTCTTCATCCGTGGCGCTGGAGGTCCCGCAGCATTGTCTTTATCCTGCGAGCCACCCGCCATTGATAGAAAGAATAATTACTTGATTGAAAATAATTCTTACGCGTTTGATTTGAGGTTGACGCGCCGATGTCCTACGAACGAGGGTTGGGGGGGCTCTAGCGCCGGATATCTGAGGCTGCCGCCAAAATTTCTTTTTTAGGAACGCGAACTGAGGCGGCTCCACAGACTCACTTCCCCCCCACCAGACCTGGTTCGTGAGCCACGGACATCACGAAATGGCACCAGAACTATCGAGCAATTGGAAGAAGCTACAGGCGACATTAAACGCGGAGTCTCAGGCCAGTGCGGAAAGGAAGAGGAAGGCGGTGCCGACGGAGCGACAACTGAATACTCTCGCGAAGCGCCGCAGACTAGAGGGCAAGCCAGTCAAGGTGGCAACAGGCGTCAAGCAGAGCATCGTCAAGATCAAAGAGAAGAAGGAGAAGAAGAATAAGATGGGCAGTGCAGTCAGCGCGGAGGAGGCGGTGCCATCGCCACGACCGTCAGAGGAGCCAGATGCATCCGCGCCATCTGCATCACTTGCTCTCTGGGCGGAGGATAACGACATTTCAGCCAAGGATCTCGCCGAAGCATACGGAGGAAGCCTGAAAGATACTACGATCAAGGGCACGATGCCGGATATCATCAACGGAGGGTTGATTGAGGGTGTAGAGATTGGCAAATACGTCGGGATTGACTGCGAGATGGTCGGCGTGGGCGAAGGGGGCATTCGGTCAGTCTTGGCCAGAGTCAGTATCGTCAACTTCCACGGCACGCAGGTCTACGATTCTTTTGTGAAGCCGAAGGAGCTTGTCACAGATTGGAGGACGCCTTTCAGTGGTGTGTCCCCAAAGAACATGCCGACGGCAAGGGATTTCGACCAGGTCCAGAAGGAGATCGCCGCGATACTGAAGGGCACGATTTTGGTTGGGCATGCGATACAGAACGATTTGGCAGCAATCATGCTGGGCCATCCGAGACGGGATATTCGGGATACGTCGAAGTTCTCCGGGTTTAGGAAGTACAATAATGGAAGGGCACCGAGCTTGAAGAAGCTGGCCAAGGAGCTTCTGGGAGTAGATATTCAAGGAGGGGAACATTCCAGTATTGAGGATGCCCGTGCTACTATGCTTCTCTTCAGACGTCACAAGCATGCCTTTGATATGGAGCATGCCCAGAAGTATCCCACGGCGAATCCGGCATCCAACAAGGCGAATACACAGAAGAAGAAGAAAAAAGGGAAGCGTTGAATCATACGAGTATGAAATCAGGTACAAATGCAGGATCGGAAAGTTGGTCCAATACCGTAGGATAAGGAGCCGTTCTACCTCTTCGAAGTGAGATATAATCTTTTATATCTGCTTCTTGCCGCCGGACCAAGGTCGGGACCTGCGAGGTCTACAACAGCAATTGCTCTACGATACCAATCAAGGTCAAAATCAGGTCTTCCAGACTCCACGCTCGAATCGCATGCACGCTTGCCCGCGGCCAAAGTCACAGCCGACGTTGATAACACCTACCTCTCTACCCTCACCCCCTAGATCCAATCCAGAGCCTCACTACAAAGGAATGCCCTCCATAGTCTCCAGACCGCCTTCCCGCGATACCGTAATTATCGCGTCACCCAAGGTCTTGGTCCGGAACCCAGCTTCGCAGTAGACGAAATAGTAGATCCACTTTCTGCGGAATACTTCAACCTCCTTCTCACCCATATTATCATGCTCGTTCATCAACGCTGGCCTGATCCGTGACTCGAAGTTCCTCAGGAACTCTTCCCGCCACAGCCGCAGCGTCTTCGCGTAGTGACCCCCAATGTTCTCAATTTTTTCGACCACAAGCGTGCCGTCCGACCCCTTGCTGATATTTTCCACCAGCTGGCTGATCGATGGTAGATGACCGCCCGGGAAAATGTACTTGCGGATGAAATCCTCTCCTTTCGCATACGCTTCATACCGCCCTTCTGGCATAGTGATGCATTGGAAGACGGCAATACCATCCTTCTTCAGAAGTCGGTGTATGCACGAGAAATACGTCTCCAGGTACTCTGCTCCCACGGCTTCCAACATCTCAATGGAGACGACTTTATCATAAAGCACTTTCGGAGTCGGGAGAGCTCGGTAGTCCATCAAGAGAATCTCGATCTTGTCGGACATTCCCGCCGCAGCGATCCTCTTCTCGGCCAGTGCCTTTTGCTCAATCGATAAAGTCAAGGTAGTAACTCTGCATCCTGTCTTTCTCACCGCCTCCATTGCGAAAGATCCCCAGCCGGTACCAATCTCCAGAACGTGGTCCGTGGACTTGATTCGTGCGCCATCGATGAATCGGTTCAGTTTGGTCATCTGTGCCGCTTCGAGAGATTCCTCTTCTGTGTCTGCGCTCGACACAAGCTTCCAAATGGGACAAGAGTAAGTCATGTCTGGCGATAGGAACGCGGCGAACATTTCGTTACTAATATCATAATGTGCTTGTATATTCAGCAGAGAGTTGGATAAAGTGTTGGTACTTCTGGCCAGCCCAGTGATGGTTGCTGCGATTGAGGACGTCAACGTCGTCGCATTAGCTAGCTGGCTGCGGTTGAGGATGAACAGCTGTGTGAAAATGTCAGCGATAACCCGTCGATGTCTCCTTGTCCTAAAGAAGGAAGGATGGAACTTCAGGCGGGCGGTCTCGGAAAATCCACATACCTCAAAGAAGCTCGTCAGATCCTCGCACTCGAAGTCCCCCAGCATATACGACTCGGCGAACCCCATATCGGCAAACAAGAACAGCCGAACCCAGAACGTCTCCCTCTTCACCACCAGTTCGACGTTGCGAACTCCTCCGGCCTTCTTCGCTGCACCGTTGACTCCATTAGTGCCATTGGACTTCTTGTGGTGCTCCTTTGCGAGCTTCTGCCCATAGGTAGTTTTCTGCCCAGTCGTCTCGTCGAGTATAGTCAATTGGCCAATCTCAATCTTCTTCAGGAGGGAGGTAACGGCAGCTTTCGAGACGGAGAGCGCGGGGCCCCAAGTCACTCCCCCGAGGGCACCGCGAAGCAAGTCAGCGCCTTGCACCAATGGTGTTGTGACGGCTGCGGGGAGGTAGGACGTCCTATTCAATGGTCAGATATGAAATGTCACCAGAGTAGCTGGAGCATGTACATTTCGAGAGTTGTAGCAGCTTCGTACTTCTATTATTTGCTATCGCAGGACCGGGGGTATCTATTTACTACCCACACAGAGCAGACAGGCGAGAGGAGAATGGACAACGACAGCGACCGTGACAGCGACAACGACAGTGACAGCGATCTATACAACAACAGGCAATGGAGAAGGGATGACGGGAAAGTCGAGTCCGAGGATGGAATCTTTCTACTGCGCAGTCGCAGTCGCACTCCGGAACCCTACCAATCAATGAATGACGCTGACGAAAGTCTAATGGGGACCAGGAAGGGCTGGTGTTTTGTTTGTCCGGACCCAGAAAATGTGTATGTAATCTACAGGGATCTTTTTTGCTTTTTAGCAGCCGCACCGGGCACCCCAACTACTGTGGTACCAGTACGGTACTGTACCAGTACGTACTGTTACCGCTTCCCCTGCACGCTTGGCCTGGGTGGGCATAGATCCGATTCCGATCGCATCTCCCGCCCCGCAGCGCTGATCTGGGCGGTGAGAGAAGATGGCAGATGGCAGATGGCAGATGGCAGTCAATTAGTCAGTCAGTCAGTCAGTCAGTCCGTCACGTCGCGTCTCCTGCAACGCGTGAAGCCGACCTCCCTTCCACCGAAAAGCCCTTCCCTCCCCCATTCTCTCCTCACCTCGCCTAGACAACAGAGCCCTGTGAAAAGAAAAAAAAAGAGAAAAATGCTCGCCCTCGAGAAAAGCGAATCCCATCGCGGCAAATGCTGTCCCAACGTGTTGCCCTGCAGAATCAACCACAACGGCGCAGTCAACACCGCGAAAAGATACTGGAATCCGACTTCACAGCCTGGTATCTCCTCTCCTCTCCTCACCCGCCCGTCCGCCCCGCTCCGCCCCTCCTCTAATCCTACTAACAACACGAACTCCCACAGATGGGAAAAGGGTGGCCTACTTCCGCGGTCGCAAACTCCACGGCAAGACCCTCACACTCCCGGAGAACTACCGCGGCGTTGTGGTATCTACCACAGAGCGCGTGTTACCACAGGAGACCCCGGGAGGAGAGGAGCAAGGAGATGAGCCGGAGGGAGAACGAGAGGAGGAGCCGGAAGTGAAGATTCTGGAGGAGCAGTCTGGCTTTCAGGAGATGGTGGTCTGGGGACATGAGGTGCTGCCGGATGGGACGGCGGATCCGTATGTAAGGGGTGTGGAGGAATGGATTGGGTTCGCGGAACAGGTGAGTTGATGGGTGGCCGTTGGGTGGGAAGATGGGGGAAAGGTGGGACGCTGACGTGGGTAGTAGATACATTCGTATGATGAGGTTGTAAAGAAGAGTTGAAAGTTTGGGATTCGATTGGGGTGAGGCGTTTGGGCATGGTGAAGCGCTGAGCATTGTCGACAGGTAAATAAAAATACGGGCTTGCATTGAAAACAGAATACAAAGATATACTCCTTCTTCGTCCGTCCTCATAGCAAAAAAATAACGAAAAAGGTGATTCAAAAATTGTATACATAAAACAAAGTAAAGCTGCAAAACTCAACTGGAAACTCATTTCTTATGAGGTTCCAGTTTACAAACCTAATTGAATAGGTTTTCCGATGATAGTTGTTGCATATGGGCTTTATGGTCTCACGAGAATCTACACCAACTGGACAGGAACCTAGAGCATAAGCCGTTGAGCCACCACCTCGAGTTCCCGCCAGTTGATGGAAGACCAGCGCGAAATATTTTATACAAAGTAAACGAAAGTTTTTTTGAGCGGGAAGTTGAAGCGAGCAGGAAATCTCGAAAATAGTTCTTTATGATAAGTCAGCTCTTTTTTTTAAAGGACACCCTCGAATCATAAATCCTGAAGCTATAAGCTCTTGTAGTGCTTTATGTTATTTTGAAATTGACTTGTCATCGCTAGGAGTTGCTTATCTGATCAGGAAGGTCCACACACACCCTCTCTCTACCTATCTATACCCCTTGCCTAGCCAGCTCAATTTCAATTCCCATCCACGAGGACTCGCGATCCGCAATGCCTCACCTCCATATTATGGCCCTCGCCTCGGGACTCTATAGCAGTTGGCCACATGTGCTCTATACTCTATTCAACTGCTCTCGGGATCGTTTTGGTGTTCCCCTCGAGCTCCCGACCGAGCCTCATGCTGTGCCTAATCCTACAAAAAAGCAAGACGGCGATTTTGATCAACAACAATCACCGTCTTCGGCTACTTCAGCAGCAACCCGCTCAACAGCCAGACTCTTCCTCCTTGGCCCAATCCTTCTGCTCCTTCAGAAACGCCCTCTTCATCTCCTGGTAGCCCTCATGCTCCTTACACCTTTCCCACACCTCTCGAAAAATCCGACTCGCCTCCTCCTTCTCGCTCTTCCCCGCGTGTCCCTCGCTTCGCTCATTCTTCACTCCCTTCTCCTTCCCCCCAGCAGCATACTTCCTCCCTCCCTTGTAATTCGCGTACCGCTTGGACCGCGTCATGCCCATCTGGATGAACTTGCGCGTCATGTCCATTCCGACGAAGTCGTCGTGGTCGTAGAATTCTAGGAGCTTGGTCCACAGAGTTTGGGAAGAGGTGCGCGCGATGGGGACGGTGCGGAAGCGCCAGAGGGGGAGGATATGGGACTTGTACGGTTCGAAGGTCAGGACGCCTTGTTCGCCACGGCCGATGCGGTAGGTCATGAGCTGTGACTTTGGGGGCTTGGTGAAGCCCTCCATATTTCAAGTAAAGTTGTTCAAAATCAAAGGATGGAAGAAATATATAAGTATGATAATCGCAACTAGAAATCTTGAGAGGAGGGATCGATGACGTCGAAAGAATCAAATAGTCGGCAAGATATGTTCCTCTCGTTCTCAATTGAACGCAATAATGCATGCGTCCGTCTTACTCACAGCCTACCCGAATAAGAAATAGATGGCTTTCTACAAGCCTCAGAAGGGTACTACAGGAAATTTCCGATGTGAATTTGTTCCTGTGTTTTGATTTAGACGAGATGGCCAATGCAAGTCACTCAACCCCTTTTTCGCGAAAACCACTTTATTACGGTGGCCGTAATCCTTCGACGCGTCAATTCTCGTTTTGTGACGCGAATCGTATTTTGGTTCTGCCTCCTCAGCCCAAACAATCCTCCCGAAACCTCCTCGAAGTCAACACCAACGTCACCACCATATCAACTCTAGCAATCGCACAAAATGGCTTCAGTCATGATGTCCGACGCCATATCTGATATCGGCATGTCGAGCAGAATCGGGACCCCAAAACGACCCTTTCAGAGAGACTCTTCACTCAGACCAAGGGGCCCGCCCTCTGAGAGTGTCGCGCCTCAGAGCGACATTGAGGGATTCGCAGATGATCAGGTACCGCAAGGAACTGGCCGACCAAGGCCCAAGGATCGGCCAGTCCCTCGTGTCGAGGATGCGGTCGGACAGATTGTCCAGGACAACTTTGAAGATTTCCTGGAGGGGTAGGCAGCGCTCGTAACAATCGCAACATCCTACTGACATGCCCAGGTTCATTGAAGAGCCGTCTGCATCCGGAGCGCCTCCATCAAGTGCTATCACGACAGATAAATACTACATAGCGCAGATCCACGGCTTGAGAACATACCAGCTCTCTACGCTCTATGTCGACTTCAACCATGTCTCCCAGTTCAAGGGCGGTGGGCTCGCAGATGGAATTGTAGCGGAATACTACAGATTCTTGCCTTTCCTGACCAAGGCTCTACACAACATGATCGCCAAATACGAGCCACGATACTTCCGGGATCATCGTCAGCCCACAGCCTCCAGTAACCAAACTTCCTCCGGTGCCAGTAATGCTGCCTCTGCAAGCCAATCCGACTTTCAAGGAAGCAAGACCACCAACCAGCAAACCGATAAACTCTTTGCTTTGGCATTCTATAATTTGCCCCTCGTTTCTCGAGTTCGTCACTTGAGAACTGCCAACATTGGACAACTTCTGTCAATTTCTGGCACCGTCACGAGAACTTCCGAAGTTAGACCAGAGCTGTCCCTCGCAACCTTCACTTGCGAGTCCTGCCGAAACACCATTCCCAATATCGAGCAGACATTTCGATATACCGAGCCCACTCAATGCCCGAACGTGACCTGCAATAATCGTCTAGCATGGAGACTGGACATCAGACAGAGCACCTTCGTGGATTGGCAAAAAGTCCGAGTCCAAGAGAACAGTTCCGAGATACCTACAGGCAGTATGCCTCGAACAATAGATATTATCCTACGAGGAGAGATTGTGGACCGAGCAAAAGCTGGTGAGAAGTGTATCTTCACCGGCGCTTTGATCGTGGTTCCAGATGTCAGCCAACTCGGTCTTCCCGGTACACGCGCAACAGCTGTACGAGAGAATCCAAATAGATCCGGAGATGATAGTGGAGTGTCAGGTCTCAAAGCACTTGGTGTTCGAGATCTTACCTACAGACTTGCTTTCTTGGCCTGTATGGTCACTCCAGACACCTCTACCACTGGATCGGCTGTAAGCCAACAGTTGAACGGCCAATCGAGCAATATTCTCGCATCTCTCAACCAAACTGCCCCCATAGACCCTAACGAACCTGGGGACCATGCCCAGGAGGCTGTTTTGGCATCGATGACCCAAGCTGAAATTGAGGACCTTCGTAAGATGGTTCACACTGATCACATCTACTCTCGACTTGTCAACTCCCTCGCACCCACAGTCTATGGGCACGAGATTGTCAAGAAGGGTCTTCTCCTTCAGCTTATGGGTGGTCTAAGCAAGACGACTCCAGAGGGAATGTCACTACGCGGTGATATCAACATCTGCATCGTTGGTGATCCATCAACGTCGAAATCTCAATTCTTGAAGTATATTTGCTCCTTCTTACCTCGCGCTGTTTACACATCTGGAAAGGCCTCCTCCGCAGCTGGTCTTACAGCTGCGGTCGTCAAGGATGAAGAGACGGGCGAGTTCACTATCGAGGCTGGTGCTTTGATGTTGGCAGACAATGGTATCTGTGCTATCGACGAATTTGACAAGATGGATATTGCCGATCAGGTAGCCATCCACGAAGCTATGGAACAGCAGACCATCTCTATTGCCAAAGCTGGAATTCAGGCTACTTTGAACGCCAGAACATCTATTTTGGCGGCCGCAAATCCGGTCGGGGGCCGGTACAACCGAAAGACCACGCTCCGAGCCAATATCAACATGTCTGCTCCCATCATGTCCCGTTTTGATCTCTTCTTTGTTATTCTGGACGAGTGTAATGAGAGCGTAGACAGACATTTGGCTGAGCATATTGTTGGCATTCATCAAATGCGTGATGAGGCCATCCAACCCGAATTCACTACCGAACAGCTTCAACGATATATCCGATTCGCAAAGACGTTCAAGCCCGAGTTTACGCCAGAAGCCAGAGAGATCCTTGTACAAAAATACAAAGAGCTTAGAAGCGACGACGCTCAGGGCGGTATCGGCAGAAACAGCTACAGGATCACAGTCCGTCAACTTGAGTCTATGATACGATTGTCCGAGGCTATTGCCAAAGCCAACTGTGTCGAGGAAATCACCCCAAGCATGGTCATCGAGGCATTCAACCTCCTCCGCCAGAGTATCATTTCGGTTGAGAAGGACGATGTTGATGTTGATGAGGATGACGAGGAAGTCTTGGGTCCCAACGGTGCCAGCCGCCGAGACACTGATGGCGATTCTCCCATGGGAGACGGAAATGACGAGGAGGATGGGGATGATGGGCCAGATGGTGGCGCAGGAGCCAGCGGCGCCACACCAGCTCCCGATAAACCCAAGGCGAAGATCTCCTACGACAAGTACATCAGCGTCGTCAACCTGTTGGTCCAGAGAGTCAACGAAGACGAGATGACTCAAGGAGAGGGTGTTGCCGGGGATACTCTCGTCGAATGGTATCTAGAGCAGAAGGAGGATGAGTTGGCAGGCGAGGAAGATTACCACGCCGAGATGGCACTGACGAAGAAGATCATCAAGAGAATGGTGAAGGTATGTGGCAATTCTTTCCCAGTACCACCGATCCAACCTGCTAATCAAATCGCGCAGGAGAATATTCTGATGGCTATCCGTGGCCAAGGCTTAGTTGGTGAGGGTGGCGAGGGTAGCTCGAGTGCTGCAGAGAAGATCGTCTACGTCCTTCACCCGAATTGCGCGGTCGAAGAGTACTAGGTAAAATGTGACGGGTGATGTTCTACGAAATCATGTTGGGGGCACGACTTGATGCGTGGGGGGGGGGGGGGGGGGGGTTGGAAAGGATACCATGCTTTGTGGACGGGTGTTTGGCGTTACTTAATTTAGAGACTTTGTTGCCTACGTCTATCTACTATGAATACTTGATGAAAGCCTTGAAAAAACAACCGGCCTACGCTCAAAGTCAAGAGGTCTGTCTGTCTTGTCTCGTAGCCAGACGAAGAAGATTCGAAGTTTCTTGCGTCTTCAACCTCAACCCAGCTCTTTTATCATGGTATCAAACATGGCGATCCGACCAGTCAGTCCGTCAGTTCTACAAAGCACTTATTGATTCTAGGGGACTAAAAAAAAAGAAAAACCCTCCCCCCCCCCCCGCCGCGACGAAAGTCGTCGACGACTCTCTCCTCACC